GATCCCTGGACATGACCAGGAGGAACTCAGTGGTCTTTCAACTGCAGTGCTGAATACCATTATGCAGGCTAGGGCACCCTCTACAAGGCGGCTATATGACCTGAAATGGCACATTTTCGTGAATTGGTGATGTTCTCATGGGAAGGATCCTCGGTAATGTGGCATCAAAGCTGTACTATCCTTCCTCCAAGAGGGCCAGGACAGGCGCCTGTCATGCATCTACACTCAAGGTGTACGTGGCCACTATTACAGCGAACCACGACACCCTAGATTGCAGATCGGTGGGGAACCATGATCTGGTTATCAGTTTCCTAGGAGGTGCCCAGAGGTTGAATCCTCCAAGGCCACGCTTCATGCCCTCTTGGGATCTCTCAGTGGTCCTTCAGGCTTTACAGAGAGATCCGTTTGAGCCCCTTCAGTCAGTTGGACTTGAAGACGGCCTTTCTGACTGTGCTCATTTCTATCAAGAGGGTGGGAGATCTCCAAGCCCTCTCCATTAATGAATCGTGCCTATAATTCAGGCCGGCAGACTCTCAAGTTGTCCTGAGACCTCAGCCTGGTTATGTGCTCAAGGTTCCCACCACTTCTTTTAGAGATCAGGTGGTAACCTTGCAAGCTATTCCCCCGCAGGAGGGGGACCCTGACCTGTCACTGTTGTGCCAGGTGCGAGCCCTATGCATCTATTTGGAATGCGCATAGAGTTTAAGACTGTCTGAACTAGCTCTTGAACTCAAGGTGGCTGGTAGGGTGTAGAGCTTGCATTTAGCGCCTTCCCCTCTCTGAGGTGATAATGTGCGCTTATTGAGTCCAGTTCAGTTCCTTCTTATGAACCCTGGACTACCCTTCCATCACTCAACCACTCCCTTATGTAGCGGAGTTTAACAGACTAGTTTGCTAAAGAATCCATTACGAGTAAGTATCCCTCGAGGGAACTCTCATAACGGATTAGTGCTCCATACGTTTTGGCTCCCTTTGGTGGATTAGTACCCATATGTGTATTAGTCCACTGCTCTGTTCCGAATAGGATTCAGTGTTTCCCCTAGTCAGACAGTCGGCCTGTTACTTGTTTCTGTGCTTAGTAGTTCTCCCCTTAAGCGGAGCCCACCACAGAAACGTTCCCTATGTACTAATCCCTTTTAGTGAGTCCATAGGATGTATCTGCATATGTTACCTCCCCTTCAGTAGGATGTGGTTTCCGCAGTGTTCTTTTCCCACTTGGGAAAATTAACGCTTTCTCAACATTCAACCAGGACATTCCAACCACTATCTATTCTTGTTTTTCTCAGAATGAGAAAAGGCTCCAGCTGGAGGTGACCTCTGCCTTATATGGCAGCTCTCCAGCGTGTTGGGAGAGTGAGGTCATAAGTCTTGGACATTGGAAGGTTATGAGGAGGTGAGGTGCATTTGGTCATGGCACGCTGAGCTTGTCAACATCTGCGCCCCCATGGACTCGTAACGCAGTTCAGCAGCTGTGGCATTTAGTATAGGGACCACTAGTGTCAGAACTTCGACACAATGTTGAAGTGACCGACTGAAAGGGAGCGTCTCTGTTATGTATGGTAACCCTCATTCCCTAATGGAGGGAACGGAGACATTGTGTCCCTTATGCCACAACTCTGAACTGCTTCTGAGTGGTTTAGACGCTGCTCGACTCCACAGAACAAAACAAGTGAGCAAATGTCACGCTGGCCTATTTATACCCGGATGTTCGGGGCGTGGCCAGCTACGCAAATTTTACTTGCCAATTTCATTGGCCTTTTCTCAATGTCAGACGTGTCTGGGACCCCTAGTGTTGGAACTTCAACACAACATCTCCATTCCCTCTATCAGGGAATGAGTGTTACCATACGTAACTGAGATGTTTTTTCTTTTCTTTTTCATATCCTCTTTTCTCATGTCAAAGTGTTATTAATCTTAAAACATACACACACACACACACACACATATATATATAACGTTTTTTTTATATTTATTTTCTATATTTAATGTTTATAAATTTTAACTAAAATGAATAATAATACTAACATGTTTAATGTTTAAATATAATAAAAAAGTAATACGAATTATGATAACAACAATTAATAAGTACATATAAAATATGTTTTATGCATTTTTAGTTATACGTACATTTATATATTTTATAAATTATATAAATTCTTATCAAATGTTTAAAAGATATGAAACCATATATTTTACTAGGAGTAAAATATTAATATAACATATGAATATAAAATATTGAGACTTTTGTGTGTGTGCGTGTGTTCATTACTCACTGCTGTGTGTGTGCAATTGGATTGGTTAAATGCAGAGCACAAATTCTGAGTATGGGACACCATACTTCGCTACACGTCATGTCACTTTGTTTTCAGAAATTTTTCTTAAAATTTTATAAGGTACAATAAATTATGAAAAATAAGTTTTAATATCTTAAATATATTGTTCTTGGAAACATGATGAAAATGCAGATTAATAAAAAATTTTGCAGTGAAGAACACAAAAGTGAAATTAAATTAAAAAGAAGTGGAAATGAAAAGGAGAAAAAGTGAAAAAAGAAAGCTGTCGAGACCCCTTTCAGGAAGTATCGCCCGTCCTTTGCTTTAATGAGGTCAATGTAAAAGCATGAGCAGAATACAGTCTCTCTTAATACACAACAATGGAAAGGTCGCCTGCTACCACATCAAGGACCCTGTCGCGGTACAAAGCAAGTGTAAAATTACAATTACACCTTAATGAATGGCATATTTCATTACATACATGCTAATTAAGAAGTTTCGGATACAACTCTGGCTGTGATAAGCATCTGCTTTAGTACCATGACAGACTGTTCAATCCTCAGAGCTACATGTTGCTTTGTTCTGAGAGAGGGGAAAAAAGACAAGAGCATATGCGTATTGGAAAAGGGTAGCGTTTGGGAGGCGGTTCTTGCGCTGCTTTCGGAGCGGGGCCTCTCGCTGCAGTGTCGGTGTTCCAGGTGGAGTGTGGGAGGAAAGGCTGGTGTTCTGGCTTTTGTAATGGGCACCCGTCTCCACAGGCTGACGCGAGTGCGCTAATCGCTTTAGCTGATCCCGCTCGGCTGTGTGTGAGGCAGATGTTTGTCAGGCCACAGCACTGCTCAGCGTTCACACTGCACTAAGCGAGATTAACCACCACCTTTATATATTTATTTATTTCCCTCGTTCCCTCCTTGCCCCCGCCTGCCCCAATTCTTAATCCCTGACTAAAAAGCTGAGGGGGAAAAAATAGCACTATATTAAATCATTGTGTAAAGCACCCGGCGATCGTTTCACAGAAGTTTGTTTTCCTCCACGAATTTCAAAGACCGGCATTGAGGAGAACAGCCAAATGCATAATAAGACAAATGTTTACGAAACAGCGACAAGGCCACTCTATCATATCGACACTCTGAGGTCTTGGAAATATTTTCCTGGTGTAAGTCAAAAAATAAGAAACATTTGAAGTGAGAAACCCAAGCCCTTGTCATTTGATCTCTTTTCCCCTTTCTTTCTTCTCTGTTGTTCCATTATTCAGGTGCTGGAGGCCTGAGGGTATGAGGCATCCGCAGGACTGGGCTGTGTGCAGATGCAGCTACCCTGTGCATAAACACTACCAGACGTCCATCCAGCCCAGCTCTGCTCTGCCGTATATTACTAACAGGCTTCCAATTTGGCCAAATCAACCCAGCATGTTCCTCAATGCTCGCTGCGCTCCCATGAAAAGGCATAGTCGTCCAGGATATGTAAACATCTTGTAGCTTATGGCAGAGGATGGGAAAGACCCGCTGCCGGTACAGAGGACAATGTGCAGGTCAAACGTTATCCAGATGTTATGTACTTTGTTCTAAGCCGCTTGAATTGTTGTTACTGTTTCATGATTTTTCATGAGTTTTAAGACAATGGTAATCATATTTACATAAATCTTTAGTACTAGGGGTCAACCAGGATTTCTTTCTAATAGCTGATGCTAATATGTAGAATGACATACATAAGTTGCTAAAAACATCTAAGCTGTGGCAAAGAAAGTAGTGTGTTGCAAGTGACATATAAAGGGCTGTTGTGCTTGATAAAGGTTCAAGACCGGCCTGGGTTACATCCTAGTCCTGTTTTTCCTCTTTTTCCCTGTTGGTTATTTCATTTTGGTTATTCACTGCCCAAAAAGAAAGCAAGCAAGCAAACAAACAAACAAATAAAATGTATTTATATATTTTAACAAGATAGAATTATAAATTGTACAAAAATATGAAAGCATATATTTCATATATTAGTTTTTTCTCCATTTTAAATATTTGCATATATTTATGCATTTATTGCATATATGTTTATAAATGTAACAAAAATACTACTGTTTAATGTTTAAATACAATAAAAAGTAATAAAAATTATGAAAACAACTAATAATAATAATAAGCATATGTAAATATATATTTTATAATTTTTTATTTATACATTTACATATTTTATACATTATATAAATTCTTATAAAATGTTTAAAAAATATGAAACCATATATTTTTTTATTTGATATATTTTTCTCATACATTTTGATGGCCTAAATTTATTTTAATAATTAATCGCAAGTAATCTAATGATTTTTCTACTTAAGCCTGAGCCTAGAGGTTCAGGTATACTTCATTTTCTGCATTCCGCTCAGTCTTGCGCACAGCAGTTTCCACATGGATGGATGAGTTCGACACATGCGCAGTACCACCAAGTGAACTCTGGAACATGAAAGTGGACTGTCTGAACATTTCACCTTGCGTGCACACTGTTGTATGCACACCGTCCGTGTGGACACAAAAAATGGTGAGCACTTACGACAAAAAATGCACAGGAAACACTGCCTTAGAATCAAAAACATTACTAGTCTAAATGCAAAAAGGTAATAAATTAACTGTACAGTAAGGACAAATATCTAAATTTACAGGCACTGTAAATTAACAAAAAAAAAAAAATTTGAACCATGAAATTGAAAGAAAACAACGTCAAATTTAAAGGCATGCCGACCTGTGTGTTCTGCAAGCTGGGAGTAACATCAGCAGCCCCCTCCCCCTCCCCCTCCCCTCCCTTCATATAGTCCGTGGAGAAGGTCCCTCCGTGAGATCCCGTCTACACTAGGGTCCACCGCACCTGCAAAAAAAAAAAAAAAGACACGTTACACCTTCGGCTTGAAATTAGAGTATCCTCCCAGGACCGCTCTCCAAACCAAAGTAATTCACTTCACACGTACACCCCTGATGATCTGACATTTCCCGCTCTACTGATGTATCCCACACAGGTCTGGTACGGCATGTTTTGTTTGTGTTGCGCTGGGGAGTTTTCAGCTAGAGTGACATCAAACGCAACCACCCTGGGTTGTCTGGGAGTAGAGACTCCTGCTATAACCCGCTTCCCACTGCTCACAAACTGCGTCCTTCCGAAAGGTTATCATAGAGCCACTTTGTCGCTCCTAATCCAAAATTCATTACATATAGCAGTTACCACACTTTAATACGATACGTTTCTTGAATGGCTGGGTGAGCTCCTTCACAGTTCGCTGGGAGTTAAGGACAGCGTAAAACAGAGGGTAAAAATGGACAGAGATGCTTTACGAAATTGCAAAAGCGCCATAAACATGTAGAGTGGTATGTGTCAGCAGCAAATCTAATTTACTGACCTCACAACTGATCGCACGTTGCCAGGTAAGTCAATTACGTGCCTATTAACCCTGTATAAGTGATAGGGGTGGAGAATTTTTGATTTCTTGGCATGAACGGCCACCCTGAGACAGGGGTACCAGGGCCGCTTTCTGAGTGACAGCGACGGGAAGGTCAGACGGTAATGTGCGGCATAAATGTGCAAGTGATAATGATGGGGCCCTCTCATCGTACCCGGCTCAGATAGCTGCTAACTGGAATGGATGGCTGACCATCACATCTCTCTGAGCATGATACACATATGTTCTAAGCTGACGAGAACAGGATCAGCGGATGACGATGTGCAGCAATGTCTGCGATGGAGCAAACTAGGGCTGTGCGATATTGAAGAAAAATGCGATATGCGATAACTCATTAAATAATGCAATATTCGATATGCGATACGATAATGCTTAAAGTGCCACATGCTCAGATTAAACAGTTTTACTCAGCTGTTGCTGAGTCAGTTCTGTGAACTTCTATAACTATCGTGTCATATATATATATATGGTTATTTGTATGTATATATGTACCAAGAGTTCCTGATAACCACAACAAATTCCTTGTGTTTGCACACATTTAAGTGGTGAATAAAGCTCATTCTGATTCTGATTCTAATAAGAAAGCACCTAGGGCTGGGTATCGATTCAGATGTTCCAATTCGATTCGATTTCGATTTTCGATTCGATTTCGATTCGATTTTTGATTTGAATTCTTGATTCGATTGGACTATATGAATGAATATAGATTTAATACAAATCCTATATTTATAAAAAATGAACAGTGAACATAAGATTACAAATGGTTAATTAATAGGAAATTAAGAGCCACAAACCTGTATATTAAACACTTTTTAATTTAGGTACACTTGGGTACAATAAAACAAAACCCAACTCTATATTTCAAATGCATACAATGAATAGACAGAATTTTGATGCAAGATCAAAAACTGATGCTGAAAATTGGACAAGTCAGAACAGTCGCATGCCTTGATCAAACAGGATCAGGTTATTTTATGTTTAAGACAAAACAAACATAAAATCTCACAGCATTAGCTGTAACATGGAGGCTGCAAGCCTATGAACGGTGTAGGAAAACTAATACTGGCTTTTGGGTGATAGTTCACCCAAAAATAAAAATTCTGTCATCATTTATGCATGTATTAATTTATTTTCTTCTGTTGAACACAAAAGAAGATATTTTGAAGAATATGGATAACCAAACTGTTTTGGTCCCCACTGACTTCCATATATGTTTCTCCATACTATGGAAGTCAAGTCAATAGGGCCCAACAACTGTTTGGCATATAGCTTTGTTCTTGTCCACAGTATCTTTGTTTTGTCTTTTGTTCATGGCCCCAAATATTGCAAGCTGTAGCGATATACATATTGCGATATGTACATTTGCGATATTTCGATATACTGCACAGCCCTAGAGCAAACACAGGAACACTGTTGTGCTGGTCAAATTGCAAATGTGAGGCATAAAGAGAAGAGCCAAGTTTCTAACTTATCCAAGCAGCTGTTTCAAAGCAGTTTTTTGGACCTCATCTTAACCATCACTGATATGCATCATTTGGACATTTCTAAATGATCAGACTTACAGCCTTCTACATTGCGAGTAAATTACCCGCTTATTTACATATTTATTTACTTACTTACTCACTCACACACACACACACACACACACACACACACAAACCAATGGCAATTCTATTTAGAGGACTGACCTAACTAAAATCCAAAACTTGCATTGAATAAGCTGTATCATAGAGACTTGACTTGGTGGTGGATTTTTTGACTTGGGCCAATTAGCAACAACCTACTAAACTACCAAAAGACCCTAGAAACCACATAGCAACATGGAGAAAAAAAACACTCTGAACACATTAGCAACAACAACAATGTGGCTACCACCCACAACACCCTGACAACTTGGCAACAACCTTTGGATGGGTAAGTGATCAAATTCAGATTTCAACAGACTTTATTAAACAGCTTATAAACCTACTAAAACTGTAGTTTAAAATGAAGTTGATATGACTCCTGTCCTTTATTTATTTTGTCCATTTGAAAACATTAGACCTTCTACATTTATTTTGCTTATTATTAATATTAGTGTTGCTGCTGATGCTTTAAATAAAACTCGGTTATCGGGCACACAAACACGCAAATAATTGGTATCGGTATCGGTTATAAAATATCAATATCGGTCGATCACTAGACTTAAGTAAATCTTTTTTTGTGTGTGAGTGAACTTATATCATATATCAATATGAAAGATCAGAGTGAGGATTCTACTTTAGCAACTACTTTAGTCTTTGTGCAAGTGGAACAATTGACCATTTTACAGAAACACAATTAGAGGCTGTGAAATGAGTACATGCTTCATTCCAGGAGAGGAAGATTACCATTTCTGCATATTTGAATCCACTAGAAGGCAATCACTGAAATATGCAAACATTCATGAGAAAATAAATGTAGTGGAAAATTTGGTGCATATCTGCAATCAAGTTTCATGTGCAGATCTAGGAAGAAAGAAAGGAGCTAAGGCAAATCAAACTGATATCGAGTATCAACCGTTTCTCAATGAGGTTTCAAAAAACCCTAAAAAAACATGCCTGAGTAATAGCATGTGTTTCAAAATGAGACAGATTATTGGAAGTGTTAATACAGTTACTAATGCAGAGAAAACATGCATATGCTTTTAAAATGTGATCACTCTTTATGAAGTGCTATATACAAGTCATTTTCCACTCAAGAGTTGGACAAGTGTCTTTCAACTGCTTGCAGGCCTATTCTGACAAAGTCATGAACAAAAATACTAAAAGCATAAAATAAAATTAACCATATATTTATCTTTTTACTTTATATAGCCTAGTATTTGCCAAAAAGGATTTCCTTGAATTAAATTAAATAATAGTAGTATAATAATTTTCATTTAGACATAATATCCCTATACTTTATTTAAACAGCCATGTACTCTTCAACACTGCACAATTCCATTGATTTGCTTCCACCCTTCAAAACCATGACCCTTCTCCAACCTCTCAATGCGACACGCTCCTGCATGCACGTAATTCTCTGCATCCTAAATTTCAGGCATAATTCTGAAAGAACCAGTCATTTTCACATAACACACCCTTAATTAAATTTAAACAGACTACTAAATGTTGAGTCATGACATGTAGAAAATAAAAAAAAAATCCATGTAGCCAGCAGTGCAAACAGTTGATAATTGCGAATGGAAGTGGGGGGCGGGAGTGCAAACGTCATTTGTTAAGGTGAAACAGTACAGTTCTTCACTACAGACAAGAGTCGGGTAGCAGAACCCTGCCAAAAGCAATAATTGATAGTTTGCATGCAAATAGAGAAGGCAAAAAATGGGTTCAATCTAAAAAAAAAAATTTTAAAAAACTGAGCATTTTGAAGTGCTGCTTCACACAGGCATCCAGCAAAATCAAGTCACACTCTGAAGAAACCGTTTTCCTCAGCCAGAGATAATGTGCCACACTATGGGTTGTCAGATACTTATCAGAGGGTTTTAAGTGCGCGCACTCTCTCTGGGTGAGAGCAGCGTGTATCTGAGCGCGAGCGTCCGGTTTTGTGCGAGAGCAAGGGAAATCCGCGCGCGAGCAGAGAGATTCGCGCTCGCGCATTGTATTAATGTGCTTTCGCGCTACAATAATGCGCTCTCGACATTTGTCATTAAAATAACGCCATACACTTAGTGCTGTAGAATGTGTCAGATCTTCAGGGATGATTTGATTAAAACATTTCATTTACTTTGGTTTACAGAGGTCTATTTAAAATACACGACAGATTTCAAAGATTTTCCATCTGAGAAGTTTAACAAAAATGTGTAATTTAACTAGCTTTTTTCTTTTACACTTCCCTTTAGCTGAAAAGTGTCATTTTTCCATTAACCATTCCATTAAAAATTGTTAAAAGTGTTGAAGTACTTTCCCCAGCTTAAGGACGAAACATTGCTCAGTTTGTTTGAAAATCCCAACCAGACCAACACAGCAGCACTGGCTCTGCCAACAGAGTGAGTTAGGGGGCAGAACTATCTGTTCATCAACCAATAAAAGACAGGAGGATTTTTCAGGAAACTTGTTTAAAACAGTCACTATTTATGATTCTAGCAGTACAGAAATAACAAACTTTAACGGTCTTCTTCTAAAAAACCCTTTGGCTCAAATATCTGTCCACAAACAGACCCCAAGTGGAATAGTACTGGTTGCATTAAAAGCATAACTGTGCAGAAATGCATTCAATGCCCAGGCCAGATGTTCATGCCCATCCAGATACAGATCTAACAAAAAGAAACTTGGATTTTTGTTTAAGAGAACTGTTTTAACATACTCTCTGCTACTGTAAAATTAACTGAATAATGTTCAAAGAAGCAATCATGCTTTTCTACTTAATAGGTATGTAGCGATTCACTCAACTCACG